CCTTTGTCCTTTGTTTTAGTTATATTCTTATTTAGTATTGTTCAGCTTTTGCTTTTTAAACAGTAGCTAGAACTATGACTAAGCTGTGTTATTGGTTTTGATTTGCATATCTAATTTGCTCCAAAAATTTTAACTTTAAAATATTTAATTGACACAATTGTACCTATTCCAGGGGTACGATATGAGGTTCTATAAATGTACACAATGTGTAGTGAGTATCACGCTCAATTAACACATCCATCACAACACATGCTGTGCGTTAGATCCCTTGAACTTTCTTTAGTAATAGCTGGAACTATGACTAAGTAGAATTATCGGTTTTGGTTTCCACATTTACTTCTGCTTCACTTTTTAATTTGATTACTCATCTCCTTTCTGTCTACATTATATGTAAGTTTCCAGCCCATCATTGCAACTAAAATAAAAGCTATTCAAATATCCTGATAGCTAACCTATTCCACACTTCCTAATCTTTTTTTGCCTTTTAAATTTTATCTAAATAAAAGAGCAAAATAGTAAGCCTGTCACATCCTTTCTGGATAGTCTTAAGATGAATGTGTGCATTTTTCTGTACTAGGACTCAGGCAGGAAGTCTCAGAAATATGTTCCAAGGAGGCAGCTCTACACTCACCTTAATCTGCCCTTTCAAGCAAGGCTCGCTGCACACAGACCGCACTACCCCACTCTTGTTCATCTGTATTTTGTAATCGTCAATGTTCAGCACGCCTTCGTGCCAGGTTCCAACATGCACATAGTCATAGCGATTAGCTTCCGTGTACTGCAGATTCATGATGTCATACCTGCAAAGCAAACAACGGTCGAGTCTTGTAAGATATGGACACGATGTAGAAAACAAAAAAATTTGGTATCTAGGTTTTAAGAGGGGAAAAGAAATAAAAGCTAGAATCATCACACAGCCCAAACCAGCTCTTGCAAACATTGTAATTATGTTTCCTTTGATTTTTCCAGAATGTACCTATGTATCATCCAAATTTCCTAAAGAAAATATTACTCTCATTATATTCTCTGCTTATACTCCAAACGTAATTCTAGGTTGATTATTTCCTTCAAATTCATTCTTCGTTAAATTATTATTTGAAAAAGAAGCAATCCATGTGAACATTAATTTATATACTTGATTGCTTATATCCCACATATCCTTTTGACATTCAGTTTCCATTTTCATTATACTAGATTAAAAGAAGGAGTCTTTACTGAGTCTGATTTTTTAGGTGCTAGAAAAGCAAATAATCCGCAAAAGATAAATGTAATTAGTAGGGATGCTGGAAATTTAATGTCTAATACATGAACACTTAAATTGATCTCGTTCCTGATTAGGACAAACATTTTTGAAGTCAAATAATTGGTGTGAGTTATTTCAGTAATTTTAAAGGGAGAAATTTTACCAAGGGTAAAATATACATGTAGGTCTTTTCCCTGGAGTCATGTGTAACTTTTTATAAGACTAAATTTTACTGCAGCCTGAGGGCGTTCTGGGGCCCAGGCTTCATTTTTCCAGAGCAGGAAATACAGGAAGTTCTGTAATGCAATGGAAAGATCAGAGGACCTGACATCAGATTGTGTGATCTGGAGCCCTTCTAATATTTCAGTAGTACCTAGGAAAGTCACCAACCTCTTTAAGCTTCTTGGGGTTCTTGGGCAGTTTATGAACATAAGGTATGTCAAGAAACTCCCCTAAAATTGGGATGAATGAATAGTTCCGGTGAGCCAGATGTTGGCATCTTATAATTCATAACCTGAAACCCTAACCCCCAAAATGATAGAATTAGGAGATTGGTTTTTGGGGTGATTAATCATGAATGCAGAGTGCTCAGGAATGAGATCTGTGTCCTTATAAAAGGCAGCACCCCCAAACCTTCCGTGTCTTTAGCAAGTGCCATCTGTGAAGCACAAAGCAGGACCTCATAGGCACGAAATCTACTGGTGCCTTAATGCTGGACTTTCTGCCTCCAGAATCGTGAACAACAAGTTGCTATTATTTATAAGCCACAGAGTCTACTGCATTTTCTTACAGTAGCCCCAGATGGACTAAAACAATAGGTAAGGCAATATCATGGAATCATTCATAGTTTTATTTCTACAAATACTTTAAAGTACTCTGGCTATTTCCATTTCTATAAGAAAACTGGGGAAAATATTTATGTTGGAATGACCATTCATCTCTTAGTCATTGAAAAGTTTCTTGTATTCTTACATCTCATTTCCATGATGTTATTCACTCCAAGCAAACTAACTCATGTGCCCAAACTCAGTATGATTCCCTTCTTACTGGGTCCACAGTGGAATTGTTTTTTGTTGTTTGTTTTTTTGGGTTTTTGTTTGTCTGGGTTTGACCATTCATCTCTTAGTCATTGAAAAGTTTCTTGTATTCTTACATCTCATTTCCATGATGTTATTCACTCCAAGCAAACTAACTCATGTGCCCAAACTCAGTATGATTCCCTTCTTACTGGGTCCACAGTGGAATTGTTTTTTGTTGTTTGTTTTTTTGGGTTTTTGTTGTTGTTGTCTGGGTTTTTTGTTTGTTTGTTTGTTTGTTGTAGTACCTATGCAGAGTTCCTGCCCTCCTGGGCTGCAATGAATCACGGTCTCTAGCTCCTTATACCTGACCCAAGGAATTAAATGTTAGTTAATCAACAGACATTCCCCTCCCTCAGCTTTTTTCCTTCCACTTCCCTTCTAATCCATCCTAGAGTCTTTCCTCTTTAAACTTCACTCAGACTCACAATCTTTCTCAGCATAGCACTCTGGGAAGCTGCTGCCAATGAGCCTAACTAAGTTGGCTTCTGAAAACAACTGGCTATCTCTGGCCTGATTCTTTATCTAGACAGTGATTACCAGCTCACTGGCATTTCTGCCTGCACTTAATGTGTAAATATATCCTGTTGTCCACAGGGTGGTTTCTGGCTTCTCCATATCCAGATTCTGGGAGCTTCTATAAATAACTAAGTCCTAAAAGAGAGCAGACTTGGGGAGAGTAAAGGAAACTTTCCTTCACCCAGTGAACAAAACCTACTAAGAGTGAAAATGGAGTATAATGCACCTGGAGCTCATTATTCATCTTTTTAAATATAAATATCTTTTGCCTGTAATTCAGTTTCCTAGGACTTTTATTTCAACTTCTTCATTTGCTCTTTCATAAGGGAAATTGATTCACACTTCATTAACATTTAAAAATAGAAAAATTCACAGTATTTTGATATGAAAACACATTTTTAAGAAGTTTCAAATACTGGAGGAAAAAATAAGAAGAAAGTCATGCTAGAAGATACCAAGGGAAAAATACTGACTTACTAAAATGTGTGTACAGTGTGTGTTAATGAATGCTACTCTTTCCTCTTGACCCCAGGCTTCCTGCAGGGCATGTTGGCCTTTATTTGGAATATTCTTATGCTGTAAATTACTCTTCACAGCATAGTCTCAATGCACTGGTTTTTTTGTGTGATGATTAACTAAAGTAATTACAAGAAGGACCCAAAGCATGAGTGATGGTATGGCAAGAGCAGGAAGCCCCTGGAGGTGGCTGGAATTGTAGCTAAGAGATTAAGCGGACCAACTTCAAGCAGTAGGAAATGATCCCCAAAAAGTTACTGAGGGGAACACTATAATTTGACTATGTAATTAAAAATGGAGGAGAAGCAAGGTAAAATTGTGCACCTATGTTTGGATAACAGATAGAGAAAGAAGACTGGTAATTTATTGGGATGCTGTATGCTTTCTTTTGCTGATCACGTGGTAAGGTTTACACTGCAAGTCTGACCTGGTACTGAGCCTCTCAGCAGCCTCTCTGAATTTCAGGGCTGTTTGTTCCTCCTGGTACCATGTCCTAAGGTGCTCAGCATCCCAAAGCTTCATGCATGTTCACCTCCTCGGTTTTCCATACCACTCACATTCCTCTGATCGAAAGCTGCTCCCACCTATCTGGCAGCTGAGAAGGATTCCTGTAAATGTGCTATTTTGTTTGTTAACAGTGACATCTGTACCCTTTCTAAAGCTATAGAATTTCATCAGGGAAGTTCCCACTTAGCCTCCATAAGGGATGATCTATATGTGGAACAGGAAGCATCCACAGAAAGGAGGTATACACAGAAAATTGCTTAGGATCACACAGACCCTGTTAATACTTCTCCCATGGCATTAAAGTTGCCAGTGATTTTGCCTAATTTCAGGATTAGCTAAAAAACAGCATGATGTGATGAAAGATTACAAGCCTCGGAGTAAGACTATTCTGCCCTCACTACTTGCCTTCGCTGTGACTGTAGGTGACTCGCTTAGTTTATCTGACACTGTTTTATTCTACATAAAGGGATAATGATACACTGAGAGCAGTGAGAATCAAGTGACTCGATGCTCTATTTTAACACAACCTGTGCTTTCTTAGAAAGCTGTAGCTCTACAAAATCTTAGCCTAAAAAACAATAGGAGCTATGAGGTTGTGAGAGGACTGTGCAGAGGCCAAGCTGAGACCATTGCCCCTTTCTGTTGAAAGTTTTAATTCTGCTGCCATTCGAATCCTCTGTTCCCTAAGAAAACTGATGTGATTGACATCATTTCCTATGTACCTATTACCAGGGGTCTCATTGGTGGCATCAAAATAAGTGTTTCAGAAGAGATTGTGTGTAAAATGAATTTGAGTGAAATACGTGGGTGTTTGTGCATGAGCGTACAAATATGGGTGTTTAGTTAGCTTTTTTAGCTTCTTGTTGGATTCTTTGAAAACAATTAGAGACCACATCTTAGAAACAAAATTCTTACCTTTCTTTCCAAGAGAAATATAAATTAGCCCGAGAAAAGGGTATATATGTGTAGAATATGGTTCTCTTCACCTACTAAACACTTTAAGTGGGTGCAGTATCCACATTTCCTGACCAGTATAGCTTGGTGACTAATCAATCAGAAAGATGCTGAGTGGTGTAGGCTGTGACTGGGAAGCTGCTGTTGACCAGGCATAGTTTCTTTATGGTCTCTTAGGCTCGCAGACATGTTCCAGGCCTTCTGAGGAAAGGATCAGGTGACAGCTGGTCAGAGGGACAAGCCGGTCAGAGTGGAAGGGTGCACAGTTCTTGCAGTTTACCAAGAAGTGTTTCAGTGTTTTAACCACCAATGTGGTCTCTGGTAATATCCATCAGTAGGGACCCTCTCTTTTTAGTATTGCAGTTGAATCTAACTTCATGACATGCGGACACCAAGCAACCAAAGAGAGCCCTCGTTGCCACCTGTCCTACACAGAAGGCTCACCAAGGGATTCAGGGCCATTATAGAAAAGACCACATTACCTTCCAGGAGCATCCCCTTTCTCATCAAACCACACCTCCTCTCCAGACACACCAATGAAGGAAGACTTGATGAGGAAGTCTAGGAGCTTTCTGCCGTCGATGGGCTTCATGGCGTCACAGAGGCCCACATGGCCAGGGCAGAGGGCATGGTGCATGTTCTGCAGGCCGTGTGCCATCGCATAGATGGCATTAATGACAAACCCCATCTTACTGTCCTGGACGTAGTTTTCTTCCAAGCTTTCATTGCCTGTAACAGTAAAAGCAGATCTTACCAAGGTTCATCCAAATGATGTCCACAAGCTCAACAGTCAAATGCTGTCAGGGCTCTTAGGGAAGGGAGAGAGGAAAAGTCCACCTGTGTACATTTTGTGCTTGTGACAATCTGTGGCATATTCTACCTACAAATAGTTCGATCGGTTTCATTTTCTCTACTCAGTAATGGATTTATGTGATACAGAAGGAACTCCATACAAGGTGAAAGTAAAGAAATTTTATGAGCCAACCATAGTGGCATACACCTATAATTCTAACTCTCTGGAAAGAGGAGGCAGGAGGATTGTGAGTTCAAGCCCAGCCAGGAAATTTAGAGACTTACTAAGACCCTGTCTGAAAATAAAATAAAAATAAACAAATAAAGGACCAGTAATACAGTTCAGTGCAAAGGCTTTGAGTTCAATCACCAGGACTGAAAAAAAATTTCATATAAGACAATTCTTAAGGAGCAATAAAATAAACTCTTATTCTCTTTTGGTCCCTAGGAATTTACAATAACAGTCTCTCCCTATCTCCTTTTTTAATCTTTATTAAATGTATTGATATATATTGGGTATACAACACAATTACATTCATCATTGGTATCTTGTATCTCTACCTAACTTATCGGGTTCTTATTTTTACCCATTCCCCAGCCCTCCCCTTCCCTGTTTACAAATTCATTGGTTCCATGGTTTTCCTTTTCACAGACTTTTTCTTTTTTCTTCTTACCTTTCCCCTACCCTTCCAACTTCCTCTACACTTTTAGACCTTTTTCTTACTATTACACAATATCAATTATATATTTTAATCCTTATTTACACTTTTATTTTTTCACATCAGAGAAGCTATTCAATATTTACACATGTGTAACTTATTAATTTCACTTGAGTATGGCCTCATTGTGTATCCACTTAGCATTAAATCTTTCTAGTTTCTTGTTCTTTATGGCTGAGTAGTAATCCATTTTATAAAAAAAGAAACATCTTCTTTATCCAGTCTCCAGTTGATGAGCAATTGGGCTGTTTCCAAGTTGTAGCTATTACAAACTGTGCCACTATAAACATGGGTGATCATATATTGCTATGCTATGATTCTTTTAATTCTTTGGGGAAGATACCTAGCAGAGGAATAGCTGGTCAAATGGGACTTCTAATCCTGGTTGTTTGAGGTATCTCCATATTGATTTCCACAGTGGTTGGACCAGTCTGCAATCCCACCAACAATGAAGAAGGGTTCCTTTCTCCCCACAACCCTGCCAGCATTTTTATTGGTTGATTTCTTGATAGCAGCCATTCTTACTGGGGTGAGATGGAATCTCAGTGTTGTTTTCTCAGTGTTGTGAATCTATCAAATGACCAGTTATGTGGAACATTTTTTCATATGTTTATTTGCTGCTTTTACTTCTTTGTCTGAGAAATGTCTGTTCATTTCAGATGCCCATTTTTTAATTGGGTCTTTATATTTAGGGGGCCTGATTTCTTTTGTATATTCTAGATAGTAGATTTTTATCTGAGGAATAGCTGGTAAAAAAAAATTTCCACATTATGTGTTGTCTCTTAGCTCTGCTTGTAATTTATCTGGCAGTGCAGAAGCTTTTTTAAAAGATGGGATCCCAATTGTTGATTCTTTGTGCTAGTTCCCGTGCTACTGAGGATTTGTTCATAAAGTTTTTTCCTATGCCAATATCTTCAAGAGTTCTTCCTGACTTATCTTCCAGCAAGTTTAGTGTTTCTGTTTTAATATTTATATCTTTAATCCACTTGAATTTTAGTTTAGTGCATGGAAAAAGATAGGGTCTAGTTTTAATCTCTGACAAGTTTGAAATCCAGTTTTTCCAACACCATTTATTAAAGAGGCTTTCCTCCAGAGAGAGAGAGTGTTTGGCTCCTTTGTCAAAGATGAGGTAGCCAAGTATGTCAGCAGGTATTTCTGCATCTTCTAATCTATTTCACTGATCCTCAGGTATGTTTCTTTGCCAGTACCATGCTGTTATTATTACAGTGGCTTTGTAGGATAGTTTCAAATTGGGGGTTGTGATAACCACTGCCATGTCTCTGTTGCCTAGAATTGCTTTTGTTATTGTAGGTCTCTTCTGATTCAAAATAAATTTTTGGATTGTTTTCTCTAGTTTTACAAAATAAACTGTTGGGATTTCAATAGGGATTGCATTGTATCTGTATAGCAGTTTTGGAAGTATGGCCATTTTCACTATCTTGATTTTTCCTACCCAGGCAAAAGGGATTTTTTCCATTTTCTTATATCTTCTTCAATCACTTTTTTTGGAGTGCTGTAGTTTTTAGGGTAGAGGTGTTTTGTCTCCTTCGTTAGATTGATTCCCGAATATTTCTTTTTTTTTTTTTGGATACTGTTGCGAAAGGGATTGTTTTCCTAATTTGACTCTCAGTGAGACTTACTTGTGTACAAGAAAGTTATAGATTTTGAATATTTATCTTGTATCCAGCTACTCTACTGAATCTGTCAATCAAGTCTAGAAGTCTTTTGGCAGAGTTCTTTTGGGTCATCTATGTAGAGTATCATATCATCAGCAAATAATGACAGTTTCACTTCTTCCTTTCCTATCTTTATTGCTTTGGTTTCTTTCTCTTTTCTAATTGTTGTGGCTAATGTTTCCAGAACTATATTGAACAGGAGTGGTGGTAGTGGACATCCTTGTCTCATTCCTGATTTTAACATTAAGGTTTTCAGTTTTTGACCATTTAGTATGATGTTGGCTGTTGGTTTTTCATAGATAGCCTTTATCATATTAAGATAAAGGCCATATATTCCAATTTTCTGTATGGTTTTTATCATGAATGGGTGTTTAATTTTGTAGAAACCCTTTTCTGCAACTATTGAGAGGACTTTATGACTTTTGTCCTTGACTCTGTTAATACAATATATTACATTTATTGATTTACATATGTTGAACATCCTTGCATCCCTAGCATAAATCCACCTTGGTCAGGGTATATAATCTTCTTGATGATCTTCTGTATTCTGTTTGCCAGTACTTTATTGAGGATTTTTACATCTATGTTCATTAGGGAGATTGGCCTATAGTTCTCTTTTTTGGTTAGGTCTTTCCCTGGTTTTAGAATCAAAGTAATACTTGCTTTCAGGAATTATTTTGAAAGTATTGCTTCTCTTTCGAATTTGTTGAAAAGTTTAAAGAGTAATGGCAATAGTTCTTTAAATATCTTGTAGAATTCAGCAGTGAAGCCATCAGGACCTGGGCGTTTCTTTGTTGCTAAGTTTTTAATTACATTTTCAATTTCACTGATTGTAATTGGGATGTTTAGAATTTTTATATCTTCTTTGTTCAACTTTGGTAATTCATATGTATCTAGAAATCCATCCATTTCTTCTATGTTCTGCATTTTATTAGAGTTTCTCATGTTACTGGAAGAGCATTCTTTTATTCTCTATTACAAACTGCAATTCCTGATGTTTATATTAGTGATGCCCTGACATCTTCTTTTTATGATCTCACTCTTTTTATCATTTCTAAGGACACAAAAACAAAAGAAGTTGTAGGTATGGTATAGTACCTTCTTATCGATGGTTGGCAGTACAGAAATATTTAAATAAAATTTGCTAATTATTAGAAACTTAGGTGAAATATTTCTTGATAGAAGAGTCACACCACAAATTCATTTTAGCCTTTTGGTTATACCTGTAAATTCAGAGGCCCTGTGATTATTTCCACCCAAGTAAAAGAGTTCCCTAAGTAGCAAAGAACTTCACAGGAATATAATGTGTTAAATTTAAACTACATTTTGGAAGTCAAAACTTTAGTATTTACACATGGGTGAGAAATCTGGAGACCATTCAGCTTTGAAAAATAAAGGTAACAAGTTTGGAAAATAACATAGATTTGATGTGTACCATTGGCATAATTCAGAGACTTTGTACTTAGTTTCAGAAATGCGCTTCTTTCTGCATTGGGTTTTCCTTCACCCACTTGACTGATACTGAGGCTCCTATGTGACCTATGTGTGCTTCAGGTACTAAAAGGTGGGAAAGTTGGCAGATTCAGGGTGTTGAGAACAACCTCAGATGCTGCTCTGCACTTCCTGCCAACTCCCTCTTTGTTCCAGTTTAAGTATTCATTGGACATTAATGTTCTCTCTTGGGCTAATACCTTGCAAAGGGTATATAAGAAGTTGGAGAGCTTGAAGTCTTTAGAAGCAATGATAAAGAGTTTTGACTTTGATATTGAGCTTGAGATGAAAATACAAATGTCTAAAGAGTTCTATTTAAAGGATGCTCTGCTTAGATGTAGTTGAAAATGTGCAAAAGATACAAGCATGGCTACATGAGTGAGATACAAGATACTTAGGCCAGATAGAAGAGGGAAATAATTTAAAATTCCACTCCATCTTCCAAGTTTACTTGATAGGACATTATTAAAACAGAAATTTGCTAATGTAGCATTTTCCTTATTGAAAAGAAACTTTCGAGGAGAAATGAGAATTAAGACAAATAGAGAGGGCATTTTAAAACCAAACTGCACAGAATAAGCACAGACAGTTATTTAGGACAGAAAGCAAATATCCTCCTTCCAAAAACTGCAAAGTCACTGAAAAGGGGTAACTTGTGTCTGTTCCCGAAAATTCCTGACTTTAATGATGGTTTTCTTTCCCTTCAAGATAATGAAAGAGGTAAATTAGCAAAATTTGTCTGATAAGTCTTGAAAAAGAGTTTACTGACTGCTTTGAGTCCCAAATGCTGAAGCTAAATAAGAATCGGAGACATTTCGTAGGGTGGGAATATTGATTGAGCAGCCAAAAACCTTCACTACAATGGTCCCTTAAAAGATCCTACTTAATAATCAAACCACCTACCTGAATAAGCAGTGGTTAAAAACTCAACAGTAGGAATGAAATTGCAGGGGAAGGTTTATAACATTATCAAGTGGAAATTTTTCTGCTATAAATAAGCCCCTGGCCACTGCATTTGCTATTCCTATTGTAGTAATGATTGCTGAACATT